TTCTATGACTCTCTTGGTGCATTGGAGACATAACTTACCTTGCGCCGATGCACATTTCCAGCAATGAAAACTTGATTGCAGATGCTCCAAGCAGAAATCAGATGCAGACTCATGGATGAGAGCTGTCAAATAAGATTTTCCAAGATATAATACTGAAGGGGAGTTTGTCACAAGTAGACCTTTTTGATACCCAGGAGAACATAAAATGCAAAATGTACTCTTCCTGAGAGGGCAGAAACTCCGAGCAGGATGGATACGCACAAACTTAGTCAAGAGCCCTAAAGCATATATTTCCCTTTAATTCAGCAAATGGTTGTGAAAATCAAGCAAGAAGGGACAGATACAAAATTAATAACTTTTTGGTGGTATGGCAATTGTGGTTCTAATGGTAGTGGACAACCTGGGACTGCCTGTCAGTTCAGATATCCTAACATGTCACAATAGTCAGATCTCTCACCCAGGCATAAAAACGTTAAAACTGACAGCATGGAGAATTCTTCTTCAATAAACAAGAGAACTAAGGAAATCTAGGAAAACATCCACTAGAAAGTGTTATTGTTATAAATGGAGGAAATTTTAAAAGTTTTTGAGATCCATTAATGAGCAATATTTGCTGGCAACATTTCATTGTGTAGTTTGCTTTCTCATAAATCTTAAAGAGACGGGTCTTTAGCAGTCCTTTATAAAGGTTTACTTGTCTGTCATTGTGGCTCATCAGAACATGTTTTCAAATTCCATTGTAAAGAAGTTTATAAAAGGCATAAACTATATTTGTGCAGATACAAAATCACTGACACCCTTGTCAATGTTTTTAACTCAGTGGACAAAGCCTCTCAAACTCTTGGCCTCCACTCATTTGAGCCTGCTGACATTCAGAACTATATTTTTGGTAGCCATGACTCCGGCTAGGCGTGCAAGTGAGTTGGCTGCACCGTGTTGTGACAAACCTTATGTATAGATTCATAAATATAAGGTGACTTTGTTTACAGGCATTTCATTCTTACCTGAGGTACTTTCAAATTTTCAGACAAGCCAACCGTAATCTGTTGCTGCTCTTCAAAACTCCATTGTAAAGCATAATGTACACTTTCAGGGCTGCATTTTTAAAGCCCCCTTAATTGCTATAACATTCTGTATGTTCAGAATCTCAAAGCTTGATATATTTCGCTAAATGTTTTGCGAGCCAATCGCAATGCCCCTCCATGATGAGAGGGCAAGTCTTTGCAGAAAAAGAAGCTTTATTAACAGGGGAACTTGTGCCAAATGTCTTTTACAGGATTGGGTCCTGCTTGACCCTGAACAGAAAGAGGCTTTGGCAGACCCAGTCCCTGACAGGCAGTAGGTATGTCGCCCATTGCAGCCCCAGGACCTCCTGGACTGCTAACTGAAAAGTGCTTAACAGGATTGGGCCTCTCCAGGCTGGGTGCAACCCAGTGCTTGTCAGACCCAGGTTCTGTGGCACTGGAGACAGAAGAAGTCCTTGTGGACTCAGGCCCATCTGGGAAGGTAGCAGACAATGAGCCACAGACCCTGGTCGAGCAAATAATACAGTTTTATTGATGCCAGGGAGTTACTTGACTCCCACAGTTAATAAATCCAACTTGTTCAAAATGTCTCTGAAGGAGAACCACCAGAGGCTATGCAGGTGGGAGGCACACTGGTAGAACCCTGACAGGTGGAACATTCGTACACATCCCCACCAGTGTGGCACAACCAGAGAGCAGGCAGAAACTGTTTCCAGAGATGGCTGGACACAGGCCATGGAGGCAGAAATCTGGCTGAGTGTAGTAGCTGGAAAACCAGGGGCTCAAGGCAAGCGAGCCGGGGATCGGCCGCTTGCCTGCTTTGTCCCCAGCAGTGCCTGGCATCTCTAGCTTTCCAGGTGCTTTGGTTCTTGGAGCCTTGCCCCATCTCGTCTTACCTTAGGTGTTGCAGCCAGCAACTGCTAGGTGAAAACTGGTATTGGGTGTCATGAGTACAAAATGTATCTTTCCTTTCCAACGAACATCAAGGAGTTACTACCTGGATGCAGGAATGATCTGGACATGGGCTATCAAACTAAATTTCAGTCCAAATAAGAGAGATACTTGTTCAGTAGAAAAGTATACAGTACCCTGGATTTGCAGTAAAGTCTATTCAGGATTAGGTGGCACTCATTCTAACATATTAGGCTTGTACAGAAGTGTTCCTGGATCTCACATCAGTAAGTCAGCTTTTGCTCAGCTTTGGCTGGTATATTAGCTGCACACATTCCCTAGAAGAATTGATCTGGTTACACAGTACTTGCCCTAGTTATTTTCAGAGTTGATTGCTCCAAGGCACCAGATGTGACACTGCCTTGTAAGAGTGTCTAGAAGTTGCAGCTGGCCCAGAAAACTGCTAGTAGGCCTTTGATGCACATTTCAAACAATGTCATATTAATTACACTGACCTCCAGATGTTCTTAGCACTAAACCCAGGTGCTGTTTTTTTCTAAAGAAGTACCACTCTATAAAGTGATTTGGTTGGTGAGAACACGAGACAGGACTGTATCTGTATTAGCTCCTCTGCAATTACACTTCTCAAAAGAAGTTAGACCATCGACTTGGCTGTTCTATTCTAGCTGGCTTTCAGTATTGTGATCTGCAACTTTAAAAATATGGATTGCCTTTCTCTAATATATATGTACCTTTAATTAATATACTTAGCCTGATCAGTTATGGCAGGGAGTATATATTGTAAGTCGTAGCAAGGTATTTGCCCCTTTAGTTGAAAATAACCTCAAATAGTGACCCAGCCCCAGTAATTCGTTCAACAGCCCACCTTTCACAGGCTGAAATCAGGTCATGCTTTTACTAGGACATGTGAGAGAAACAGGATTACAGACCCATTTGCCTGTCTTAACAAAATAAGTCCTAAGCAAAGTATGATTTGAAGCCCCCTGAAATGTAGCTGAATTGTACTGTCGTATCTACAGATACGTAACAGTTTTATATTGTTCCTGAGAGTTCTCCACACCTACCCCAGTTATTGCATCTTTCTAAAATTCTGTATGTTTGTAAATACAAACCATGTCTCATGAAAAAAGTGCTGTGAGAGCCATATTAATCTTACTCCAGTGTGCTCTGCCATGGAACTTCTTGGTCAGCCTTCCCCAAATAGGGGCCATCTAGCTGTTGTGGATTATGATTTCCAAGATTGCTAGTGATTGACTATATTCACTGTCGCTGAAGGAAGTGGAAGTCCAAAATACAGTACTTGTCCTAGAGAGTACTCTATTTACAGAGGGAGCTTCATGTTTTTGGGACTGTGCCTGTTTCTTAGTTTAATCTGCCTCACCAATTAGAAGACTGTTGTGCCAGAGTGGAGTGTGAACCTACATATACCTGACCACAGAATCCTTGGAGAAACGGGATTATACCAATATGTGAACATAATATATATTAGTAATCTGATATTGTTTTGCAAGATGCATAACACATTAGCCATAATGGTCTGGTTGGATTTATGGTTTATCATCAACTTTCTTAATTTAAAACAAAAATAGCACAATAGAGTGGTCGACCAGACCAGATGGGC